AACAGTTTGTAGTAAACCAATTTAATTATAAGAATTATTGACCGGAATTTGGGTTAAATGTGCTTGATGGTCAAGTACGTTATTGGCTTGTTTGTGAATAATGAAGAAGTACGTACCAAGTATTGAAAGCAACTTCGCTTACTGTTAACATGAACGTAGATGCGAAAGAACCGGAGCCGTCTCTACGGTTCAAGAAAAAAGCGCAAACCGGTTCAGCTGCATATTCCCTCTCGGTCTTTCCGGTTTCTCCGTTTTCAGCCGTACGATGCTTCAAGATCGAGTGACTTGCTAGTAAAACCAGCATCCGGTCCAATAAAACCGGTGCCCCCGGGTTGGTGGGTTTGGTTGGGAGACGAAGCGCAACCTCGGAAGCCGAGAGCCACTCACCTTCATCTACCGCAGCGATTGTGTCGATGACGCCAAGCTCCAAGGCGGATTTGAGAACCATGGGGAAAGCCATGATGTACAAGATCCTCTCTGCTTGCAAGCTCACCGTTTCTTCGTCAAGTTGTTGCTTTTCGGTTACACTTGGTTTAGGGGAAATGGTTAAGGGATCTTGATGATGGCTTGCCATTGTTATTGTTGGTTTTTTTTTTTAAAAAGAGGAAGATAGTTAAGAAAGGTATTCTTGGTAAGAGAATGTTGGTTTCAATGTTTACACTTAGTGTCATTTTATAGGCACTTTCTAATAATTTTTTTCCATTTCACATTGCTATGATGATTTAATAAAATATCGTGAATTTGATTCAGAAAAAAATATATCGTTTGAAAAGTTTCAAATCAATGTGTTTGAAATGTCAAAAACTAAAATGTAGTGAAGATGATGCTTGATATTAAGAGCATCAGTAATGGTAAACTTTTGTGGGTGTCTTTAAATATAAAATTATTAAAATTTGAATAAAAGAAAGAAATATAGTGTTTTTAGTTGAAATAATGGGGGTATTGAAATATAAAATTAATAAAATTTGAGTAAAAAGAGGAGATAGTGGGTATTTTTTGGAGGGAGGATTTCTTTAGGTTGTATAGGAAGACACTATTAGAGAGAGGATTTCTTTTAGTCGGGGTGTGTTTAAATATAAAATTAATAAAAATTGAGTAAAAAGATGAAAGAGAAGGTATAAAGTTGAGTAAAAGGAAGAGAGAGTGTGTTTTAAATATTTGATTATTTAACGACACCCAAATAAATTCACCAATGGTGATGCTCTAAATGCATGTATAGGGAGAAACGTCAAAATTTAAATATGTATATTCTTAACCAAATCGAATGTTAAAATAAATTTTGAATTTTCTTTTCAATTAATTTATTATTTTTTTAATCATATTTTTTTTTTTCAATATTAGAATATATATATATATAGTAGAGAAATTCCAGTTTATTTTATATATTGACATTGTTACCGACAAAACTCTTGGTCCAAGGTCATATTTAAAAAAACAAAACAAAAATTGAAACTTAAAGCAGATCTCTTATTAAAAAAAAAATCAAAATTAATAGAAATATATTTATTTAAATGAATTTTTTCTAGATACCTACGAGTAGGGGTGGAAATATTATCCGGGATCCGAGATCCGATCCGTTATCCGTTCGGAATCGCTCCGAAAATTAGGATATTCGGGAAGGCCGGATCCGGATAAGGATAGTAAAATTTAGGATCCGGATCCGGATAACAAAATTTTAAGGTCCGGATATCCGGATCCGGATCCGGACGCATTAAATATATTAAAARCATARARATTATATATCTATTAAACTAATTTTATATKAATAAATATATATAAAAATTGATTTTAGTTCTTTTTATAATAAATTATATTTATAATGAAAAAATACCATTTAAAATATTAACTAATAATTTTTAAAAATATTAACTAATAATTTTTAAAAATATTTTTATTTATTTATTAATTATTTTAATTATTTTTAATATTAATTTCGGATCCGGATCCAGATCCAGATCCGGATATCCTGATTTTTGGAACGATTCCTAGAGGCCGAATATCCGGAGGTCACGATTCCGGATCCGGATAGTTTTTTCACGGATCCGACGATTCGAGACCAGATCCGGATACTCTAAAATTCCAGGGTATCCGGAATCGTCCCACCCCTACCTACGAGGGAATTTCTCATTTCAGAGATCCATGAGAGACTCACTCTCTTCTCAATAAATTGAAACTTATCATTTTATAATTAATTCTCATTTATTTATGATAAATCATATTTTTATAGTTTAAAATATTAATTAACTAGTTTATATGTTGTTTTTTTTTAAATCATAAAATAAAATATCTATATATCAAGCTCTATTATGCATAAATATAAATTCTATATTAACATTATTTTAAATTTATATTACTTAAAGTTAATACGAAATTAATATTGTTTTAGTTTATAAACTAATATATTATTAAAAATAAGATTTTAAAAACTAAAATTTCTATTTTAAAATATACAATATATTTTTAATTGATTTTACATAAAACTAATACAAGATATAAAATTAATATTGTTTTAGATAATACAATGTTATATTAATTAATAAAAAATGGAAATTCTAAAATTAAAATTATATTTTAAAATGCAATATGATATGTTTAAAAAAGAGGGCAATTGCAAAAATGCCATTTTTGGGTGTACATCTGCGAAAATGCCACATATGGCTGTTCATTTGCAAAAATGGCACTAATTATAAACCCTAAAAAATTTTGGGACAATTAAAAAAAATGCCACTTTTTGTGTGCACATTTGCAAGAATGCCACTTAGGGGTGTCCATTTACA